ATTTATCATAACGGTTTCATTTTGTATCAATTACAACAGTTCTGTAGTAAACCTACAAATACTATGATAGGTTAATGAAAGAAGAAACCAAATACTAACATCAACTTGTTTCTCCCAGTTTTTCATCTTGCGTTTCAATGCTTGTACTTGTGTGATTAGTCCTACAGCTTCTGATGTGTTGGCAGTGTCTATAGATTGTTGTTCTAGCTCAGATCGCGACTTCTGTATGTGAGAGTGGAACTCGGTCATCTCATTGCTCAACATACCACCAAACCTGCTCAGTACATCCTTGTGCCAGGAGTCATATTTCAGTGTCACCTTGGACTGGACTTTACCAAACTGTACAATAATTGGACCAATCTCTTTCTGGGTCTCAGAAGTGTCAAAAGTCTTTCTTGCTGACCTAATGATATATACAGTATTTGAAAATCTTGTTCTGTGAAATCTTTTAAGTACAATTAACTCCAACTCATACAAATCTACAAGAAAGATGATTCAATTGAGTAAATTTTCAATTTTATAAATCTTAATGGTGATATTATTTTTCAATAATATCACTATTTGCCTTGGTTAGAGTATGATTAAAATTGGCAGAAAACATCCCCCATATCATATTACACTAGGTATGAGCCTCAGTTACACTTACTTGATTTGTTCCAGTGTTGTCATCCATGTGGGTAGATCTCCCATCCTCTGATAAAGACCATCTGGTGTAAGATCCCACAATGCCTGGTACCTCAACCATACCTACAGTGTACAGGTCATATACATTAACATATGTAACTAAAGTTGTAATCACAAAATCAATGGCCATTTATTTAACATTAAGTGTACCTTTTTATTTGTGACCTCTCAAAAAGAAGCTTTATTATACAAATTAAAACCGGATATAGAATGACATTTTTTACACATAAATTCAGTGAAACATTAATCCAAACTTTTTGATTATTAAGAAGATTGTTTGAAGGATAAAAGTAAGATTTCAAATTACTATAATAACAGAACCATCATAGGAAAGCTCCTAAAACTGCAAGGAGCCTATAGAAACTTATAGGCACTGTCTACTGCTACATTAACTATAAATAAATCTACACATACCTCCCCAAGAAGTTTGCATAAAATTGAAAAATTAAGAAGCTTAGGAATTTATAAAAGACTAAATATGACAGAATGTTATGACATATAAGAGTGAGTGTTACCATGATATAGTTCTCCATTTCTTTAACAGTTTTCTGTATAGCATAGTAAGATTCCTCAATGACTTTCATTCCACCAGGTAACTTTGTTAGAACATTCTTGTAGGTGGCAGCTGCCTCAGATTCTACATCCAAACCAACCTGGAACAAAAATACAATTTTTACAGTCTGTAATAACATTAAATTTAGTAATGCCTTTGTCACACTATGAGTTTCCTCTGCACTGATATGGTATTTCTTCAGATTTTTAGACTGCCATGAGACTGCAAAATGTTATGTTTATGAAAATAGAAAAATGTCATGAGGACCTCATAACATCATTTGGCCTCCACAGTGTCCTAGGTGATTGTCAATGCTCTTACGGAGCTACCAGCATCCACTGCATGCACTCTGCTTTTACTAACATTACTGTCCCTAGAATTGAAGGAAAAGGGGAAAGAAAGAATGTGCCTCAGATTAGACTCGTATAACAAACCAATAAAAATCTCATAATTTCAGAGCCATTTATATTTCAACTAAAAAAAATACTGAAGATATACAAAGAAGGTGCTTACCTGGTATCTAGAGTGCTTTATCTTAGGAAGACTGGTTACAATGGCTTCCCAGCCAAACAGTTCCTGCATGATGTTGACTCGAGCTTCTTCAACTGGTGGGTTAACATAGATCAGTTGATTTGTTATACGCAACTCATGAATCATTGGCTGAAATCAAAATAAAACATCTATACTAGACTGGTTTGATTTTGGGAAAATGTTCATCCTAACGGCATTTTTTAGTACAAGCAGGTAGTTGGGCTTACTTACCTATTTTGAGTACGCTGAATTCATTTTTTGCTCTACCAAGGCTGTATTTTAAGTCCTTTACCTTTAAAAATCAATTTCAATATGGCTGCCATTGAATTTTTTAATTTTACTTTAATTCTCGCATGGGTGATATATATACACATTTTGTGGCATTTTAATTTAAGGCTTTGTTAATTTTAGTCTACTGAAGTGTGGACGAGAAGAATAGATGCAAAAACAATAAAATTTATTGCGGCAGCCATCTTGGATTTCAAAATGGCGGATAATTTTCTATGTTTTATACACTGTATTATAATTAAAGTTAACAAGCGCAAGAAGGCATTTTACTAGGCATGTTTTCTTTTATTAGAAGTGCAGTGATACTAATTAAGACTTCCAAGCGAATACTTTGAAAAACATCCATTAAAACTACAAACTTAATGGTGCAAAAAGGTCACAATTTATACCCTAATACAACGTAAATGAGAGTTATATTTGCGTTCACTTTTGTCATTAGATGTTTAATTATACTTCTAAGAATACAATGCCTGTTCTTTAAATTATTGCGATGTTTTTTAAAACTATCGTCCTGAGGGGGGACCTGCTCAAATATCTGTCCTTCTGTCTATCTGTCCGAGCGTCCTCTTGTGTCAGTTAGGGGTATTTGCTATCACAATTTGGCTTTTAGATTAATTCCGTATACCCCCGACCTATAGGATGAATCATTAATTTTGGGAGGCAAAAGGCTGCTTTTGGAGTAAGAAAATAACATGAAGATAATAGACATCTTCACAAATCTCCCAGTAAGAGCTTGTCCCTGTCAGTCCGTTTTTAATCCCGTCCATATCTGTCATTTTTGGATAGATTTTGAAATAAATTGCATAAATGTGTGGCACATTGATACAATGTCATAAGATAGACCCAGTTGTGAAGCTCAACTCCTCAAGTTAGACTTGAAAGTGCTTGAATAAAGATGTGCATTTTAGTATGCTGTCATTTAGAGATGAATTTTGAAATAGTTAAGCATAAATATACGGCATATAACGGATTGGGAAATGATATACTTTATATTATTACTTAATCTTAAAACAGGGATACCATGAAAATTGTTTGTTTATTGCTTATGTCAATGACAATTGCGCAAGAACATGTACTGGGACGTGTAATGTTTGAGAGCCAATTCAACAGTCCAAAGATAAGGGTCATGTCTATCAAGAAAGGCAATTTTGTAAAAGTTCATAAGTGGGGAACCCGGTCAACAATTTTTCATGCACGACCTGATATTTAAAAAAAGTCTTTGTAATAGGAATTGCCATCCAGGCTAGCATTCGAAAATTTTTTTTTCATGAAATAGACTACTTTCCTGAATAATAGAGTTAAAGTTTCTTCTTGTAAGAAAAATATTCCATATGGTGTTTATCCCATAGAAGCCTCTACATACTAGTGCCGAGCTTCGTGCGTGATGATAGTATTTCATTTGCTTATATGTAACCCGACAAGAACATGGTGGTTGAGGCCCCTGTGTTAGGCCGTTTTTCGTCTATTTTGTTATCATGTCATATTAAATTATCTGTTTTGATTGGCCTAGAGCAGGCGGAGTTCGGGTAAAATTATTTGAATCTTGTTAATTGTATATGCCGCCGTCCTCCTGGAACGACAATAACTTTGCACAAATGTGTAATTTGAAAAGGTCGTGTCATGCACAAGCAGCAAGCAGGGTAATGTCTACAGTAAACTTCTATATCATAAATCATGATATAAACGTAACAAGATGTTTGTGTCCGATCTATAACTTTCTCATTAATTGGTGCCTTTTGAAATAATTCATAAATAATAAAAAAATGCATAAATATATGGCACATTTGGACAATGAGTCACATGTAAAACCCAGCGGATGATGTAAATCAAAGACCAAAATCATACTTTCCCTTCGAACAAAATATTTCCATAAAGTCTCTAAAAAGTCTGGTTAACGATTTTGTCATTCATGGATGAATTAAAAATCATTTTTGGATAATTATGGCGTCTCTTTATAAGACGACAAGTAGCCGACAAAAGATCCAAGGTCACACTTATATTTCAAAAGTCATGATATGAGAGTGCATTTGAGGCCATGTCCAGTCCATTTATGTGTTATTCAGTGGGAGCTAAGAATAAATACGTGGTACTTTGAAACAATTTGTCATGAGTGAGAAAAGAATTATCGCATAAAGTAAGATATCAGACATTAAAGGTCATATTTCATTTCATATAAATATTTTGAAGGCCATGTCCGGTCATGAATTCTGTCATTCGATGGATGGATATTGGCGTAACTAGGCATAAATTTATGGCACGTTAGGACTACTTGTAATGCTTTAACACTTGGTTGATAGCTAGATAGGTCAATTTAGAACATTGATGGTTGTGTCTATATCTTTGTCATTTATTCATGGATGCTTTTTAAAATAATAAGAAATACTGATGCTATAAATAAATGCTTCTTAATGTTTCTAATATTGGTAAAACTTGTAAGACTACAGTAACCATGCTTTCAATGTAAAAAGTGGAAAACAAGATTAACAAAGAAAGGTGGCATTCAATAAACGCAGCCCAAATACGACCCAGCAACAAAGGTAATGGAACCTTAACTGAGCCGAGCTTCGGAGACATTTCAAGTGACACGCCCTTCTTTATCTTTGTTTTACATAATTGTCAGGGTAGTCCAAAAATAGTTGGTACAAATTTTAGTGACTAAAATTACACTAAGAAATACCAAAGTAATTTTATGGGGGTGATAGTTGAAAAAATATGAGATATAATGATATCAAAAATATGTTACATCATAATGGAATTAGATACTCATCAATTTCTTGAAAGATAGCCAAGAACAAAATAAGTATGAAGATTTGAATATATCTTAGTTACTTGGATGATTTTAAAACATGAGATTGAATAAGGTGCAGCGTCCTTTGCAAAGAGACAATACAAATGTAGACGTTGATATTAACTAAGACAATGAATAAATACCAATGAATTAAGACAAAACGCAAAAAAAAACTCGTAGTTTCAGTTAAGTAAATAAAATTTAAAGACATAGGCTTCGACGGCATATATTTACATAATTTAGTAGCAAAAAAAGCCAAAATGCTCTTATCAAGTCATTCTGTGTTAATAAAAAAGTGTAAACAGCAGTGAATCGTCAATATATTAATTGTAGAATTGGTATCAATTAACTGTCTTATCTTCTATGTATGTACTATCATCAAATACCCGCGATAGACCTATAATGTTTTACTCTATATTAATCACTTACCGTAAGACAGTGCAAGCTCGTAGACTGTTTATGGTTCATGTTTGCGAGACTTTTTTTCAAGGTGAAAGATAATACTAGTAAAGATTAAAATGACTTTACCATTTATTTGAGTTTATTTCAATTAAAAAATAGATGATCTGTTTTAAACCATGTATAGGCATGTTTAACGTTTGATTGATAAATACGACCCTTTATAAAGTAGCTATATCAATACAACAATAAAAAGTATCGTATAAACATATCTGCGGATGTTTCTTAACTCAAATCTCACAATTTCCCCCTTTGATATATGAATTTTGCGTGGGCCGGTGCTAGGGTGCTTGGACCGTACTTTGCAATTTCCAGTAACGTCCATGTACAGGCTCAATCAAATCGAGCCTAAAACGTTTTCAATTTTGCCGTTTTGATCGCTGTTTTTGGGATTCTGTTGTTGTTTTTTTTCTATTTGAAATCGGGTCGTACAAAAGTTATTGTTGCAAAGACATGCAGGCTCAAAGATATAGTCGCTGACCTGTGAAGATGACAGGCAATTTTTAAAATATTTACATACTGACCTTGACTCTTGACATTCAAATTATAAAATGATCTAGTGTCCATAAAGGTTTACACAAATGCTATTCTACCAAAATACAGATTACTTAAACATCTAATGGTAAATTAAAATGAGCAGGTTTTATGTAAGACATTTTGGATCTCAGATACCTGATATAGATTAATTGTCCAAAAAGAATGACCTGTGATAGTTTAAAGTAATGATGTAAATTAAAGTGTGCAGTATACCTACACAGTGTGTACAATTCGACATGACATGTTGCTCATATCATTATTTAATTTTTGATACTCGTTCCTACAGAAGGATCCATTTGTTTAAAAGTACTTTACTTATATTTATTAAAAAGGTGCATGTCCATTTTGAAATAAAAAATGGCCGGCATAGCAGTCAATGTGTAAAGCATGTATAATTATCAGCCAATTATTCGTTTAAGTAATTGAAACTTTATTCCATGTAGATTAACGGAAATACGATACTATATGTACTAGAAAAAATATTTTATAGTAGATGGTAAAGGACAATGGCGGCCATTTTGATTTGACCTTTTGAAGGTCAAGGACTTCAAGTACAGCCGTGGTAGAGCAAAAAATGGATTCAGCATACTCGAATTATGTTAAAACGATTGACTACCAGCTTATACTAAAAAATGCCGTTTGACTCTTAACGGAGGGTCTTTTCTGAAAATTAAACCCGTCTATACTGTCTCATGAAACACTGAAATATCAGTAGAAAAAGCATTTCTTAATGATTCTTTCTCTTCAACAGTGAAACAAACAGTTCTCTAAGTTAAACAGTACCAGACAATTTATTAAACAACTGGTAACAAATTTATCAATACATAATTTTTAGCTAGAGAGGAAAAAAAATTCACTTAAGAAGTAACAATCGCCTTTGTGCACTCAAACCTATTAGATCTCACTTAAAAGGAATAAATCTTGATTTCTTTTATTAGAATGTGTTTATGAAAAGTTTACCTTGATGTTTGGTTCTCCTCCAAGTTTCATGCTAGCTGATTGTGGTGTATCGGTATCCATACTGTAGTCAACATGATCTTCTTTCTTACCCAGTAAACATTTGTTCCAGGCATCTAATGCTATCTCTAGACGTCCTGCAAGTCTCTTCTCCACCTGTTATATACAGAAAAATAATTATATTCATATACAAATCTATTATATAAAATGACACATCAATGAAATACTGACATTCAGCATCTGCAATTGCTTGCATTTAACTACGCCTAAATAAATTTTAAGTTCATATACATTCATTAATCTGTCTTCTACCAATGTCAAAACAAAAGTTATAACAGTTTGTTAACAAAATAAATAACATAATATCCACAAACCTCATCATCGAGCCTGGCTACCCACTGTGGTAGGTTAGAGTAGGAATGTAGACTAAGATTGTCTACAGCTTTCTGTATCTTGCCCAGTATCTCACTGAATGTTGTACTACTGTATGCACAAGTCTCTAGTGACTTTACCTCCAGATCTATCTCCTGTTCCATAGCTAACAAATCATCCACCTATAATATCATCACATAGCTTATTACAGTTATGTCAAACAATTGATGGTATAAATGCATTAATATCAATTTAAAACTAGAACTCTGCGAGTCGGATGTGTCGCCTTTTGAACAATGTAGTTTAGGGGAAAAATGGCCAGGACAAAAATGAAATATGAAAAATAACAAAGGGCAATAACTTAAAAAATAATAAGTGCAGAGCAGCATATCTGTGCACTGCACTTCTAATCAATAAGATCTATCATTCTATGATGTTTCAAGTCCATAGCTTTCATACTTGAGGAGAAATGACCAGGACAAAAATAAAGTAAGAAAATCAACAAAGGGCAATAACTCAAAAAATAAGAAATGCAGAGTATCAGTTCTTATGCACTGCACTTTTTCTTAATGAGATCTATCATCCTATGAAGTTTCAAGTCCATAACTTTTATACTTTCGGAGAAATGGCCTGGACAAAAATTAAGTATGAAAATTAACAAAGGGCCATAACTCAAAAATTAAGAAATGCAGAGTACCGATTCTTGTGCACTGCACTTCTTCTTAATGAGATCTATCATCCTATGAAGTTTCAAGTCCATAGCTTTTTTAGTTGAAGAGAAATGGCCCGGACAAAATTAAAGTATGAAAATTAACAAAGGGCAATAACTCAAAAAATAAGAACTGCAGAGTACCGGTCCTTGTGCACTGCACTTCGGGTTATTGAAAGAAGCATGCATACCAAGTTTGAAGTCAATCAGACTTATAGTGACTGAGTTATGCTCTGGACAAGCTTTAGGGGACGCCGACGACGCCGACAATGCCGCAGACACTGACGCCGCCGACAAAAGTAACCCCTATATGTCACCTTTTCAAGGCGACACAACTAGATAAGACTGAAGTCCCCTCTATATTCCAAACTTCATATTTCATTAATAATATATAAACCCTATTAAAATTTTCTTCCAGTTTCTTTCCTTTAAGTTTTGATGCAGAATTGTTTAACTAAATGTTGTAGTAAAAATATCTTACTTTTTCCTGGAAATTGACCAATGTGTCAGCAAGTTTTTGTACATATGGGTCTAGTTTGTATGATTCCCACACAAGCTGTACTCCCTGTAAAATGTATATATAAAATCGTATAAATACAGTTGTGTAAGAACAAATGTAATAAATTAACACACATTCTTCAATAAAAAATCTTTAAAACAAATACAAAACAAATTTCAGCAGATATTCACACTTAAAATAAATACATAAAACACCAAACTCGTTTTTCTGTTGTTTTTTTCTTCTTAATAAAGTATTACAGACATACATGACTAAAGAATGAGTTTTGACAAACCTCTTCAATAAGTTTCTGGACCTCCTTGTGAAGTCCTGCTACAAGTAAATGTATTGATGGACGTTCATCAACTTTTTCTAGGGTTTGCTGATAAGTGCGAACACTCTCAAACAGCGACATGGCAAACGGGTAAAGTTGGTTCGCTTGATGAGCCTTGTTCACTATAGATAGTGGAACTCGAAAACCCAGCCATTTCATGTTTCTCACCTGTAATTATATTTAACAAGTTTTAAATATCATTCAATTCATATCTTAGTTTATAATGTTATTTTCATTCTAAGCAATTTTTCCAAATGAAAAATTTTAAGTTATTATACATCAAGTATTTTAATGTTTAATTCTATAACATTTGGTAAGAGATACTGTGAACCAAGTTTGGTGATGATCCATCCATTTCTAATGAGCAGTCATTGAGAAATAATGCCATTTTTAGGTCATGTGACCACTCAAAGGAAGCTGCCAAACTTTATTCCAGCAAAGTTGATAGAGAAATATCTTTCATTTATATAGTAGCAGTAACTTAGTAATTTACATTTATATATCCAAACTTACCTCCTTAGAGAGAGTAATGATGTCTTTCTGAAAGTTAACACCCAGTTTGAGAACATTTCCTTTACCAGGAATCCTTGACTTGATGCTGGTTATTGTGAAAATTCTACCAGACACCTGTAGCTGTCTCTGAGTCACCTACATACATAATATATAGTTAGTGAGAGTGTTTGAAATACTTCTAATCTGATAACATTCTTGAATTTAATGTTGATGAAGCTGCAAATTGTTGTATGTTCTACATTAAAAGACTACCTTACTATAAAATAATTATTCCTCTTTGAACAAACAAATAGAAAGACATATTAACTGTGTATATATATATATTACTGAAAAACAAAATGCCATACTAACTTTTCTAGACCAATCTTCAAAGAGTTCCTGGGTGTTAAGTTTATTTCTGAAGCTATCACCATCAGCCTTCAATTTCTGACCTTCAACATGATTCTCCCATCCTTTACCAAGAACATCTTCTACACGCCTCAAATATGCAGTCAATTGTCGTTCAATCTATAATATACAAACATTCAATTTAAAATATGCTGATAACATAACTTGTATTGAAACAAACTTATCTATGAAGCTAACTTGTAAAATAAATAAAGCTGACTTGAATTTCTTCTTCTTTTTTTTCCTGCATTTAATTCATGTTAAACATTTTTTATCACAAGTTACAGAAGGGAAATATAACATTAATTCAGCAGATAATATTTCAATTTGCTGCCGAATTTAAGTACATCCTACTTGCTTCTGTTACAATTACAATGGTTTAAAAGAAGATTATTGTAAGACAATGTCAAAGAGTCATACCTGTCTAGCAAAGATGATACTACCAGATACTGAGGGGAAATCTCTAGCCTTGCTCATTCTACATGTCTTACTTTGTGGATATTGAACCTGGGTAATAAAATATGTCAAAATCATAGCATTGCTTCAAATTTGTCAAATGTGTGAACAAAATTATGATATCAATGCATTTGTTCTTTTCTATAAAATACTAAATCCCATTTTTATATTAATCTAAGTAAGCCAAAATTAGTTAATATTATATTACCTGTATCATTAACACCATTTCTACATAATCACAACAATAGATAAAATTGAAATAATGCAGCTCAATTATCGAGTTAATGTACAGAAATATCCTTCTAAAGATACAACAATAAAAAACAAGAAACATGGCAATGCCATGAAACCAGGTTTTCAATTATCACCATTGTAGATAAATATGTTGTATTTGAAATACAAATACAAGCAACAAACAATGTAACTATGTGCAATGTAAAACATGAATAATGTAGGAGGAATTGCCACTGAAGAAGTGTTCACTATATATTCTGTATAAGGGAAAAAAAAAGGGCCATAATTAGGTCAACAATTATCCAATCACAAAACCCCGACAATATGTGCCAGGGCGCTTGGTGACAAAGCTTCTGTGAAAGTTTGAACAAAATCCGTTGAGAAATGTAGGACGAGTTCAGCACAGAAGAATTTGTTCACTATATATTGATAATTCTGTATAAGGAAAAAAAACAAAGGGCCCATCACAAAACCCAGACAATATGCGCCAGGGCACTTGATAACAAAGCTTCTGTGAAAGTTTGGTCAAAATCCGTTGAGAAATGTAGGAGAAGTTGCGCACGATAGAAATTGTTCACTATATATTCTGTATAAGGAAAAAAAAAAAGGGCCATAATTCGGTCAAATATTATCCATCACAAAACCCTGACAATAAGTGCCAGGGCACATGATGACAAAGCTTCTGTGAAAGTTTGAACAAAATCCCTTGAGAATTAGAGGGAGTTCAGCACAGAAGAAATTGTTCACTATATATTCTATATAAGGAAAAAAACAAAGGGCAATAATTAGGTCAAATATTATCCAATCGCAAAACCCCGACAATATGTTCCCAGGGCACTTTGGTGACAAAGGTTCTGTGAAAGTTTGGTCAAAATTCGAGGAGAAATGTAGGAGGAGTTGCGCACAGAAGATATTGTTTCACTATATATTCTTTTTAAGGAAAAAAACAAAGGGCCGTAATTAGGTCAAATATTATCCAATCGCAAAACCCAGACCAATATGCCCAAGGGCAATTGATGACAAAGCTTCTGTGAAAGCTTTTGGTCAAAATCCGTTGAGAAATGTAGAAGAGTTGCGCACAGAAGAAATTGTTCACTATATATTCTATATAAGGAAAAAAACAAAGGGCATAATTAGGTCAAATATTATCCAATCGCAATACCCAGACATTATGCGCCAGGGCACTTGATTACAAAGCTTCTGTGAAAGTTTGGTCAAAATCCGTTGAGAAATGTAGAAGGAGTTGCGCACAGAAGAAATTGTTTACCCGCCCGCCCGTCGCCCGCCCGCCCATCCGCCCGCCGCCGACATACCTCAATCTAATAACCAGTTTTTTCCTTCGGAAAACCTGGTTAATGAATAACAAAATTTTTATGTCTTCATTGTTTTAAATGCATCTTAATTGTTATATGGTACCTTGAACTTTTCATGTAGAGACTCGATGTCATCTTTCACCCTTTGCATGAGCTGTGTCTGATATTCACGAATAGCTCCACGAATATGTGGTCGTACAAACAGAGCATTGAATCGCGAGAAGATTCTAAACATTTCATTGGCATTCTTGGCTGTACCTAGCTGGTCACGTAGTCGTGCTGTAATTCTTGTCTCTACTCTATCTATCCTCTCATCATACCTAGTAAATATAACATATTGTTTATAAACTCTATGTCAACAACAATTAAATATTAATACATGCTATATAAACAACCATAAACTATTAATACATTCTATATAAATATACATCCATAAATTTTTGTTAATAAACTTTTAATACATTCTATGTAAACAACCATGAACTTTTAATACATTCTATGTAAACAAGTTACAACCATAAACTATTAATACATACTATGTATACATCCATAAACTGTTCATAAACTATGTGTAAATAACCATTAACTGTTTATTAACTATTTATACAACCATTAACACTATAAAATCTATGTTAACAACCTTAAAATGTGTATAGACTATTAAAACAACTTTTTATGAACTAAAATGAACTGTTTATAAACATAACCTGTTAATAAACTCAATGCAAACAACCATTAACTGTTTACAAAATATAATTAGTGCTTTCATATCTTTGTAAAGTTACACTTCATTAACAGATATTAAGAAGTAACTTGAGAATGAGGGCAAGTATTTAAAAACACTCTTCATATACTAAATTGAGCTTTAAAACACATAAACAGTGGCATAGTTAATTTAAGGTTTCTTTCCACATAAAAAACAAGGAAACAAGTTTGAATAAAAGAGATAAATGTAACCATACCTTTTAATGGCAGCTTCCCAAGCATCAGATCCTTCCTTGGAAACATCCAGACCGTCTACAACCTTCACATTCTCATATGCTAGGTTTACCTCCTGTTGATATAGAAATTTAAATGTTTTAAACATGATCTTTTTTGAGTTTTCTAACTGGTAGAGGTCATATGGTGACTTACCAGCTTTACTGGTGATGGTAGACCTCAGGGGCCTCTTATCATCATTAAATTAAATTGTTTTTTGCCAATAACAAAAAATTTGGATTAGTTTATTTTGGATACACTTAACTTATTGCAGATAAACAGTATGGAAAAATAAATCATATAAAAATAAAGATTTGAAAAAAATCACTATTGCAAAATAAGTTTATTTTACAATTAAAGAAAATATATATATAGTGAAATGATTTCTACATACAGTTGTTGCGTTATTGTACAAACCTATCAAATTGAAATAGTCAGATATTTACCTCCAATAGCATTAGCATCAGCTGCCTCATCTACAACAGGTTCAAGCTTTGGTGCGAATCTCCTCTAGAGGTGTACCAGGCTTCTGTTTACTGGTCACAGGTCTTAATACTCTTACAATCACTTTGTCGTAGCTGCTCATGCTGGCGACGGAATCTGGGAAAACAATCAATCACAGTTAATCACAAGGTTTAATATATTTTTATAGTCCCTTCACAACATAAATATTCAACAGAAAGACATAGGATATTGTTTTAATTTTCATGATTAACTCATTAACAGAACAAGATATGTTTGTAAAACATGTATGCCCCCTATCAGCAGCCAATAAGTCATGTGATAAGGTTATTATGCATGACATCTGACCCAGTGATCAAACAATAATAAGGGTTATCAAGTATCTACTGGTCATGGGACCCTTAACCTTTGACCCCCTTACCCCAAAACTCAATAGGGGTCATCTTGCTTGGTCATGACCAATCATCATACAAAGTTGAAGTTCCTTAGGCCTAAGCGTTTTTAGTTAAATTTGATTGGGGAAACCGTTTTACCTACCCAAGGTCAATGGTGAACCCCTTGACCTTTGACCCCTTGACCCCCAAAATCAATAGGTCATCATCTGGGCTTGTCCTATGACCAATCACCATACCAAGTTTTGAAAGGGTTCCTTACGGCCGAAGCCGCTATCTCCTTTACGTTATTGATTAAGGAAACCGGTTTTTATCCTTTACACAATGTCAATGTGACACCTTGACCCTCTTGAACCCCTTGATCCCAAAAACTCAATTGGGTCTAATCCTTGCTTCCTGGTTCATGACCCATATCACCCGCCATACCAAGGGTTTGAAAGTTCCCTAGGCCTAAGCGTTCTAAGTTATTGATCAGAAACCGTTTTTACCTTACAAGGTCAATGTGACTTGACCTTTGACCCCTTGACCCAAAACTCAATAGGGGTCATCTGCTGGTCACGACCAATCATCATACCAAATTTTGAAGTTCCTAGGCCTAAGCGTTTATGAAGTTCCTAGGCCTAAGCGTTTATAGTTAATTGATCGGAAACCGTTTTTACCTACAAGGTCAATGTGACCTTGACCTTTGACCCCTTGACCCCAAAATCAATAGGTCATCTGCTGGTCATGACCAATCACCATACCAAGTTTGAAGTTCCTAGGCCTAAGGGTTCTTTTGTTATTGATCAGAAACCATTTTTACCTAAGAGGTCAATGTGACCTTGACCTTTGACCCCAAAATCAATAGGGGTCATCTACTGATCATGACCAATCACCATACCAAGTTTGAAGTTCCTAGGCCTTAAAGTTCTTTAGTTATTGATCGGAAACCGTTTTTACCTACAAGGTCAATGTGACCTTGACCTTTGACCCCTTAACCCTAAAATCAATAGGGGTCATCTACTGATCATGACCAATCACCATACCAAGTTTGAAGTTCCTAGGCCTAAGGGTTCTTTTGTAATTGACCAGAAACCGTTTTTACCCAAAAAGTCAATGTGACCTTGACCTTTGACCCCTTGACCCCAAAATCAATAGGGGTCATCTACTGATCATAACCAATCACCATACCAAGTTTGAAGTTCCTAGGCCTTAAAGTTTTTTAGTTATTGATCGGAAACGGTTTTTGCTTACAAGGTCAATGTGACCTTGACCTTTGACCCCTTGACCCCAAAATCAATAGGGGTCATCTACTGGTCATGACCAATCACCATACCAAGTTTGAAGTTCCTAGGCCTAAGGGTTCTTTAGTTATCACTCGGAAACCATTTGGTCTACGGACCGACGGACCGACAGACCGACAAGTGCAAAGCAATATACCCCCTTTTCTTCGAAATGGGGGCATAATTATCAATGATACATCAATAACTAACAATGATCATGCCACTTACCTGGACATTTTTCTCAAGATTTAAAAAAATAAATTACTAGCTTACTTATTTAAATATATCAATATAAGACTGCACATGTTTTACAAATGGGTTCAAAACTTAACTTCATTCAAAATTTAAACAAAGACATGTACAGTAAAGACTGTCTTAGCGACCCCCTGTATATAGCGACGTTCTGTCTTTAGTGACCATAGTTAGGTGCGCGGAACAGTATTTACTATATAAATGGTCTGTATGTAGCGACTTCCTGTCTAGTCCGTACAACGACCATGATTTAGTCACCCGTTACGGTATTTGAGCCGTGAACAGCGACTTTTGCAAGGGGAGCAAGGCTTGAACTAGGCGACGACTGTGGCGAAGAAGTCGCCTTCGGATCAGCGACTTTGACTAAAACAAACTTCAAAGAGATTTTGAAGTCGCCCGATTTTTATAATTTTCCGTCATACTTATTTACGCCGCTAGGCCTGTTAATAATTTGTTTACCTCTCAATTACAACCAATTACCGTTAATCCGCTAATTAAGAACGCGTGTCAACATCAACAAAATTCAATACACGCCGCAAGGCAAGAGTTCATTATGTTTATCTTTTCTCATTACTTATTCATGCGATTGACGAATCAGAACGCGCGTCGTATCTACGACAGTTTGCATTGACCAATCGGCGACACGCTAATACACTGTGGCTGTTTGTTGACAATTACACAAAATGGCGACAGATTCAATCAATTTTCACCGATAGAATGATTAAAGACACCTGCATATACATAATTGCTGCGGTGTTTTGGCGAGTAAAGATAAACAATGCCAAACGTCTTAAAGGTCTGATTATGTTTGAAACCTCGATTGTTAATTTTTTTCGGAGCACTTATCTTTAGAAATTATGTGAAGATTTGTATCTAATGTTTTATTAATACATTGAACTCCGTAAAGTAAACAGGCTGATTATACAAAATTGAATGTCTCTACAGTAACATCTCATTAGTTAAACTGAAATTAACAGATTTATCAATATAAATTACATTTTAATGAATATGTAACTTTTAAATACTAATGTTATGGTGTAGTTTATAATCTTAACCAATTATACATGCAATTTTAATACTCTCTTGTTTTTTATAAACGATATTTGATATGTTTAATATCAATAAAAAGTATAATTAAACCCTTAGTATGGTACTATCCTGTTTTTCAACAAAATATTGGTATGATATGTTCATATATCCGAATTATGTAGACTGTCCACAATGACTCCCTGTCTATAATGACCTTTTTTCTTTTCTCCCATCGAAGGTCACTGTAAACAGTCTTTACTGTAGACTTAAACAAATAATTGAAATCTGTTGCAGTGCTACAAAAATGTAATATTTTGTACTAACTTCCTCATGTGATCAAGACGCCCCTGCAAGCGTTTATGTGCAGGGTTTACACGCCAGACCATACGTAAGTGTTCCTCTCTCTTTTTCTTGACGATATCTCTCAGTAAACCTTGTAACTTATCATACTCGTCATCCCAGGTAGAAAATACATCAAAACATGCTGACATCACTTTCTCAAACTCATCATATGGTATATGCATCAAACGTCTTGTACCAAGTACCTGAACAAATTAAACAATATGTGACCATGTTCCTTGCAAGTAAACAACAAATTTAAAGTCATACATTCAGATTTTGATATTTCGCAATGTTGGTAAATGTAACTAACATGATAAAAGACTTTTCATTACTTTTTTTAAAATTTATATTTAAAATAAAATAAACTTTTCTTAGATTTAGAATTGTGTCTCTGAAATCAGAAACCATGCATGAACAGTTTTTTAAAACTAATATTCCTACAACATATTCTCCTGATTCACAGTCTTTATGAAACTGTATAAGAAGTTCATACTTGTCACTTAGTACAACCTGAAAAAGCATGCAGTAAAGACGACGGTTCACACTGATTTAATCTACTAATCTATGTTCACTTTCAAATATCATGCTATAAAAATTTATCTGAAGGATACCATCTTATTGTTGTTAAAGAAAGTTCAAGTCTTGACAGCAATCTTTTATCAAATATGATAAGCAAGATCAACAAGGAAAGGTGGCGTTCAATGAACTTTACCTTTAATAGCTGTGTGCTAAGATCCCTGGAGATAGCCTCTACCAATCTAAGGGCTCTCTGTATGGGGTATTTTGTGGGTCTGATCTTCCTAAGGTGTTGGAAGATTGCCTGCAGAGCAACACGTATACGATCTAATTCTGTGGCAGACAGCAAGTCATTTAATGGAAAATCCTTCATCAGTTGATTATAGTCATTCACAGTGGTCATAGCAGCTTTTAGACCTGATATATTAAAAAAAAGTATTATGAGTACTATAAATAAGTGCTTGTAAAATTATGACAGAGTTTCATTAGCCTCAAATCTATTGCATCATTTGGTTATAGATTTCAAAGGTGAAAAATTGCAGCTTTCAAAGATGAAACCTTGAAATTCCATAAATACAATCATAAATTTTGAATATCCAATCACATACATACATACTTGGGTATTAAATATCAAAATAGGAAAGAAATGTGAAGAAAAATTGACAACAAATAAAGAGCCTTCTAGCTACAACTGAACTGTTCTTGCTCACCAACTGACATCCCAGATTAGTGACAGATTTAAGACTATGACAAATGAATATGGTCTTAAAATGTTTAATTTAAGATTAAATTTTAAAAGCTAAAAATCATCATACCAGTATCTGTATCAAAACTGACAGTAGCATGGAATCTTTTGCCATGCTTTAAAATATCCAATGTTAGGACAATTTCTTGGCTCTCTCTTTTCTCCTGAATTCTCAACAAAGCTCGCTCAAGGTTTAACCAGAAACTGATCTCCTGTAAAGCTGTGCCTGATGAGGGATCCCTGTCAAGCTTAGTCACCTGAATTTATACATGTATAATATCAGCTTTTTGTGCTTTTAATAAAAACATGCTGCATTTTCACATATTCAATACTTTATAGTGACACAACTTTTTCTATCATGTTTACAAATTTATCATACTCCGTTATCATCATATATACAAGTCCTTAAAATCGTAAAATAACTTGTGAAATCATGTTTTTTAAGTTGAGAAGAGCAAAAAATAACATTTTTATACCTTCTGTATTTCTCGAATCCATCTGTTAACACCACTTTGTAGAGCATTTAGAAATTGTGCATCCTCAACTTTGTCTCCAAAATCTTCAACCTTAGGTTTCCTACCTTCCTCAGCACATTTTTTTATAACAGAAGACACAACAGCATGTATAGGTAAACTGATCTCTGGTATATCTATATTTTGCTGGAGATGTAGAAGTCCCATCTCAAGGTCAACAATCTTCTTCTCAACTGCTGGAGCCATCTTGTCACCATCCCTAAACATTCAAAACTCTTCTTTATCATAAATGACATATTGCAATGAAATAATGATGACACTTGTGACTTGTCTGTAATAATTATCTTAAACACTCAAACTATCACAGAAATAATATCATACAGTAAAGATACACATCAAAACTTATACATGTACATGGCAAAACTTATCATAAACACTCAATTTATTTGACAGTAAAAAAAAATTACAATGATAATGAAATAAGTTAAAACATTATTGAGTAGACAAATTTTCAAGTGTAAATCATTACCTCTCAGCTTTGCCAGTTTCTCTAATATAGGACTTAAAGTAAGGGGATACAGCATGGCTGATGTAGGAATGCAGTGCTTCATAAGGGGAACCATCACTGAGATTCATAATTTGAAGCTGCGAGGGAAATGATTTATCTGCCTCAACCACAGCTCCTCTCTTGATAAATACCAAACTGAAATAGCAATTAACAACGACACTACAGTAACTCTTCTCTTGGTAAATCAGTAAGTAGTGCTAAAAAATATGTAATTGATAATCATACATACATTTAAACAGCACGAAAAAGCATTTAGTCAAACGATAATATGAGATACTTACTATCCCTTTTAGAAAAGTATTTTTTGGATTAAAATATTTTTCAGAAGTGTGACAACTTGAATTATTTTTTAAAAATGTAACCTGAATATTTTGGAGCTTGTGAAATGCACATCCGAGGATATGATGTATGACACTCCGGCCTCACCATCTCCTTCCCCACTGTCTGCAACTTCTTCAGACTCATCTGGTAAATGTATAAAAGAAAATACTCAATAATTCTATTCTTGAACATTCTACAAAACAGGTGTCAGCTTACTTTCTTCAAATCTGACAGGGTCTTTGAAATGAAACATATGAGCTGTGCCACGACAAAACCAACATAATGGGTTTGCAACCAGCATGGATCCAGACCAGCCTGCGCATCTGCGCAGTCTGATCAGGATCCATGCTGTTAGCTTACCAACCCTATTACAAGTAGAGAAACTGATAGCGACCAGCATGGATCCTGACGGATGCGCAGGCTGGTCTGGATCCATGCTGGTCGCAAACCCATTATGTTGGTTTTGTCGTGATGCGGCTCATATAGTTAAACTAATTATTTTTTGATAATGATTTAGAACATTAAATTATCATTTAACTAGGGCAAATCATTATCACTTTTAATACTGATAACTGGCCATGAAACTATGTACAAAACCTGCACATTGATACGCAGTGGTACAGTAAAGATATGAATACATAAATGTTTATAATTACAACGGCCTTATATAATATAGATACTTTTATGTATAAAAAAATGTCCTTTTTTTCCCTAACACACATTTGGTAAGACCTTGAGAGGCAGCATGAAATACCCAAATATTGCCCAAATTTACTAAAAATAAATATTTGTATTAAAAAGCTGTTTTAATTCTGAATACAATACAGGGTTTTTTCCAGGATTTTGGGAACATGACCCATACCCTATTTGGAATTTTCAGTGATGTTTTGTTAAAATTTAGGAAAAAATGCATGACTAAGTTTGCAGTGATTAAATGAATCCAAAGAAATCACTGTCTAGGATGGCATATTCAAAAAAATTTAAACACCATAACAGTGAAGAAGCTCTTATTTTCAAAGATTTTACAATTTATTATTTAATATTCTTATTTTGTAATTTGCAAATAGGGATTTTTTTCCTGTGAATTGGGAAAATAATTTACTATTTTCAATTGGAATCTGACCAAATATCGGCTATAAAATAAGCCAAAAACTAGAAATGTGCCCCCACCGCGCCACTGTTCTGTCAATCTTATGACTCTAGGGTCAAAATATTTTTTTGAAAACTAAAAATCTTTTACTAAGTAAAGGGCAAGAACTTTACAAAAACTGAATAAATCCACAAAGCAAACCCAAGGTGCATAAGTACACATGTTGACCACCATTCTTGTTAACTTTCAGGCCTACAAGTCAAATACTTTTTGAGCTATGCATGAACAAGTTGAAAATTGCAAATTTATACTACTGTAAGTCAAGGGCAATAACTTAAACAAAACTGAAAAAAAATCCACATGCAAAGTCCAGGTGCATAGCTTCACAGTGATGTGAATCATTATTCCTGTAATTTAGTGATGTTGATCAATTATTCCCATGATGTTTGTTGATTCTAACTCAAGCACTCAGGGAACAAATAACAACATAATGAAAAACGGTTTTTACTAAGTCAAGGGAAATAACTCTTCAAATACTGAATAAATCCATCAAGCGAAACCCCAGGTGCTAAACTACATATGCTGAGCAACCTTACCATAAGGTTTAATGACTCTAGGTCAAATCCTTTTTGAATTACATGCGACACAAGTTGAAAATTGCAAAAATTTAATAAGTCAAGGGCAATAACTCTAAAAATACTAAATAAATCCAGACAAAAATACCCAGTGCACAACTACATATGCTGATCAATATTCCTGTCAAGTTTCATGACTCTATGTCAAATACTTTTTGAGTTACATGGGACACAAGTTGAAAATGGCAAAAATTTACTTAGTCAAGGGCAATAACTCTAAAAATACTAAATAAATCCACACGAAAATACCCAGGTGCACAACTAAACTTACTGATCAGCATTCCTGTAAAGTTTCATGATTCTAGGTCAAATACTTTTTGAGTTACATGGGACACAAGTTGAAAATTGCAAAATTTTACTTAGTCAAGGACAATAACTCTAAAACTACAAAAAATATCCAGATGAAAATACCCAGGTGCACTACACTTGCTGATCAACATTCCTGTAAAGTTTTATGACTCTAGGTCAAATACTTTTTGAGTTACTTGCGACACAAAAGAGAACAGACGGACGGATGGACGGACAGACAAGGGTAAAATCTAAGTGCCCGCCACTAAGAATTACTCAGCTAACAAGCCCCTTTTGATGTGGTAATGTTAATGGATTATCGATTATAAGTAAAATTAGATCTTTTTTTTTTTTAATTCAAATAAATCTTGAGGTGAAATAAATAACAAAAAAGTCAAAATTTAATTTTAAAAAGATCTGTTACATAATGGAAATTCACTGTATTCCACTGTAACCTTGTGTAACCCATGTATCCCTGTATCCCTTGTCATGTGGGGGTGAAAAATAAATGTGATTTTGTGCCATATATGAAAATGGGGGCACAAAAATCCTTACAATATATACTTACCCTAAGACATAACTAAACATACCCAAATACACATTTTTCCTATCAATTGTGTTTTGATCCTAACCCCATTAAAGCTGTTGTGTTACGAAATTAAAAAAAAAGGGCAGTGTTTTTCCTCACTTAGCCACTTGATTATGCCAAAAAATTTTCACTTAAATTGCTAATTTGGGAAGTAAAAAAGCAGGTTTAAGTTCAGATTTTTGGGAAAACTGCATGATTTTTTAAAGAAAATTTCAATTGGGAAGAGGCCTTTTATCAGAGTTTATTATATAAGCAGGAAAATCACTGAAGGGACACTTGTATGAAATTACAACAAACTAGAAATGTGTCCATAGGACACGGGTGCCCCCACACTCCACTGTTTTGTCAATCTTATGACTCTAGGTCAAATATTTTTTTGGGCTACATGTGCCACAACGCTACATGTGCCACAAGTTGTAAACTAAAATTCTTTTACTAAGTAAGGGCAAAAATTTTACAAACACTGGAATAAATCCACAAGTAAACCCTAAAATGCATAAGTAGTAAAGTACGCGTGCTGACCAACATTCTTGTAAACCTTTCAGGCCTACAGGTCAAATACTTTTTGAGCTATGCATGAACAAGTTAAAAATTGCAAATTTATACTTAGTCAAGGGCAATAACACTAACAAAGCTGAAAAAATCCACATGTATGCAAAACCACATTTGCGAAACTTCACAGTGATGTTTATCATTATTCCTGTAAAACTTGTTGATTTAATTTCAAGCACTCAAGGAACTAATAACACAACATTATGGAATGGTTTCACTATGTCATGGGCAATTACTCTAGAAATACTTGATAAATCCACAAGCGATTGAAGCGAAACCCTTGCTTTCGACTACTCGAGCATTTTATCGTCATTTCCCGCAAGTTTAAGTCATGAGAGAATTATACGGGGAAGTCAAAGACCGGGCCCGCGAAGCGGGTCCGGGCTTTGGCTTGCCCGGCTATAGACTACACGTGTATATTTAAAAGAAAATCAAATAAAAAACAATTAAAAAAAATATAGAATTCTATACCTATTAATGAAATTTTCAGTGTCAGTTCTAGTCGGGCGCTGCCATTTACAATGTAACTCAATGATAATATGCGGGGTATTCCGATAACGGAACAAATCTCAACTTTTCAGATAAATAATAATCGTCGAGTGTTCCGAGTGAAAACGGAAGCGGTGCATGTAATACCGAATGTCACCTATAAAACGGAAAGAATGAAAGGAATTGTTTAACGACTTCCCCGTCCATAGGCTTTGCCTAATTTCATATTAGTGTTGTGTCCGGGCTCAAGAAGGGAAACAAGAGCATAAATGTATTCTAGGCTCAGGTCGCGTATTGACTATTGGTTGGACTGTTTACATTTGGGAGTCTGCAATCTTTACTTTATCGAGACTTAATGGTAAACGGTATTTTTTCATATATGTACAAATTGTTTGAAAACAAGTCTTATTGTTCCAACAGATGTCCCATTCGTGTTAAAATATTTCCGATAAAGTGTTTACAGGGGAATTTTATGTTGGGAGGCAGAATCTGACCCCCAAGCATCAGTGGTTGAGAAAAACCCAACAGCGGTCCTACTAAACACTGCTAAGGACCGCTAAGGACTGCTAAGCAGTCCTTTGTGCCTCCCTAGCGGTCCTGCAACTCATGGAAAGCATAATTCAGAAAACAGACCCAGAAAACAGAGACTGAATAAATTTTTGGAATATTGATCCATGACTTACCGTTGTGTTTAACATCACCAGTTATTTAGTATACAATATAAGTAAAAATGCAGCCCCATCAAGATGACATTTCTTAAAATTTGGCTCATTGCCAACTTGCGAGATGATGATTCATTTCCATAATTTTCAGGGAAAATTAATTTAAAACAACAATGGCAACTATTTTTTGTGAAAGTGTTTAAATTACATACGGTACCTTTAGTAGATGAGCGTTGTACCAGTAACGTTTGGTGTTTTGTGGATCACTTAGAAACTTTTTTATCTGCTCGACATTATTGCGATTTCTGACAGCGCGGCCTTGAAAGATGCAGATGTGCCATCACAATCGTCGAGTAAAACAGGCACACACCGTTCTAAATATGTGACAAATTTATCCGGATCTGCCACAGACTGGACAGGTTGAGCTGGCTGACCCTCGGCTTCCACTTGGTCTGCATCCTGCCTGATGTCTGGAGCTATTTTGAATTGTAGTCGTGTTCCTGAATCGATACATGGCAAACTGATGAATCACGAGAATATCGGACGTTATCCGGGGACTTTGACCGGGGTTCTGGATAATTTGAATCACAGAATATTCGGTAATATTTAGATTGAACGCCGCTAATTTTTCTGTGCAGTGATCTCCCCTTATCATTGTGAGGAGATTGCAAATTAAATTTTTGTTTATTTTGATAGAATACTTATTTATTATATACTTATATATGAAATATTGACAAATATTGATGAAATAAAATGCCTAATTTCATTTTCCGTATTTTCACTGTAAAAATTTATTTTTCACTGTGCAGTGAAACATAAATTTCCGTATTTTCAATGATGTCTTGCCGGACTACTTTCTTTTAAATTCTGCCAGTATACAACAATTTGAGAAAAGTCTATCAAATTGTGATGTCAAAAGAGACAAAAGTATATGATAAATAGAAAATTCCAAGTTTTTCTACAAATACGTGATTTAATTTCATCTTGTGGCATGAAAATTATCATATTTCACTCCCGTCTCGTGGCTGCTGCCACTCATGTAATATTTATTTTCATATCACTAGATTAATATAAATTATGTATTTAAAGAAAAAAAACTTGTATATCCTCTATCTATTGACATCGAGGCCAGTACTGTAGAAGCACACAGTGCTGTAACTAGAATAAAATAGAATAACATTTATATTTCCAAGCCAAGGGTTATACAACAATAAATGTGGACTTATTCGTATTAGAATGAAAAAAAAAAAACAGGTATCAATGCAAGCAAATGTTTTCTTTTTGTGTTGTTGTTTACAGCAACAGTGTATTTTGTTTTTACGGACTATATATGCGTTCACCTACAGTTACAGACGACGTGGTTCGACAAAATCGGTAACGGACGAAATACTTTTATTACATGCTTTTCGGTGGTTTATAGAAATATATCAGTGACATAAAACTGGTAATTTCACTGTTTGAAACAGTGAAATTACCACTTTGATAATTTCACTGTTTTGAATTTAAGCCCCTTACGTTGATTCAGTGAAATACCAGCGTGCACAGTACTGGGTACCAACTTAATGACGTGACGTCGTAAATGACGTCACGTTGTATTATTATTTGGCGCGCTTTTCATTCAGTATTACGTTAAATGTCTTTTAAAACGTTCCTTTGCATGTAATAAAAAGAAAATTTGTTTAGTTTAGTGTAAGATTGAAATATATTTCACCTTGTGAACACCAAAAGTTCATATTTCACTCGTGGCTTCGCCACTCGTGAAATATACCTTTTGGTGCTCACTCGGTGAAATATATTCCGATCTTACACTGAACTAAACAAATATCCTCTATTTAATCATGCAAATGAAGTTCTTCTGCAATGCTCAAAAATGCTATTCTAGCATTCAACAGTCATTCTTTAGAAGTTTTAGGTTAAAAAAAGATATTACTAAAGAATCGCCTACGTATGTTCATCTTGGGGTTTACTTGGACAAAGATTTATCTACATTGCAATCTACAATTTTAAAGAGCGCCTGCACTAATTTTGGAGGGACTTAGCTGAATATTATAAACTATGGTGTGCACCCGAGTTCTATGAGCCTTGTGACTGTGGTTATACTAAGGCACTTTACGGATGCGAACTTTGGAATACTTACTCTAAAAACGATATGATAACGTAGGAGAAAGCTCATAGATTTTTGTAATATACACATTCATACTCTCCACATAAGTACTGATACTAAAATCGCAATGATTTTGCTGAACTGTCCTTCATTGAATTAACAATATACTATAGAAAGCTACAACTGTTTGAGCAATAGTGTAGTTTACCCGGACAATACCTAGCCAAAGAAGTGTTTGTGAAACGCCTTATTCATTTCGCTAATGGCGATAAAGTCAGATACTTACCGTTAATTTAATATATACGTTCATACCAATATACAGACATCTATATAAGCACTGGATTGTTTTATTTTAAATACCAGTAAAAACCATCTTACGAAACTGTGTTTTAAAAAGGGAAAACTACATTGACGAAAATGATCTGTCATTTGTTTTTGGCGTGAAACACACTGAAAATCTACTGTGCTGCGATAAATGTTGTACTGTCTGGACCATTGCTCGACAAATGATAACTAATATGACATGTACGGCACACAAACCCTGTAATTCAAAAGTTAGCTCACCTCCATGAGTAGTGTCCTCATAATTATATGGGAAACATTCCCTTATGTTTATTCACCAACTTTAGTTTTTGCAAATTATTATGCTCATTATCAGTATTATGACGTTCTACCAACTTCGTTACACTAACTATATGCTGTGAGCTATTTTGTTTGCTGTCCAATCAATCGCGAAAATATTTTTTTTGAAACAGTTCACCTGGCAGACGCTGTCCTTATTGCCCAGCAAACACATGACGTTAAAATAACGTCGGATCAATGTTAGATTTTGGTCACGACGTCGGCGACCAAAATACCACGTAAATCTGACGTTTCAACATTTCATAGCACACATATAGAGGATATTGAATGAGTGGAAGTTCAATACTGAATTTATTGCACGAGTTGAATAAAATTATATTATGTGAGCCTCTGGCGAGCATAATATTATTTTATTCAACGAGTGCAATAAATTCAGTAATGAACTTACACGAATTTAATATTCTATTTATCACATACCAAAAATAAAGACCGTTTAAGGTGAAATAAGAGTCATATTTCATTGACGCGCCTATAGTATAACGCTAACATTTAGCGCGTCTTTACACTATGTTTGTATAACGCTAATGACGTCACGTCAAAATATATGCACGGCCGTGCAATACCATATTTACGGAGTCGCAAAATCGGCACGGGTGTGTGATAAATAGTACTAACAATTAGCATCACATAGCATCATATATCATCATAATAGCATGTAGCATATAGCAACGAGCCCTGAAAATATACACATTAAGCATTCCATATATTCATGAAATATATGATACAAACATATACATATTATCTTTAAATATAATAAATCCATTATATTAACAGATCAGTCCATATAAATATTCTAAGAATGTACCTTTACTAAATGTGATCATTCATACACAAAATAGATAACTGAATATGTAAACATCCTATTGAACTTGCATCTAGTGACCACTTAACCAGTTATTTATAAAATAATATGCAATGTATCATTTCCTTTAAAACATTCATATATTTACAAAATATATAACCAATTACATATAAACATAATATAACATACCGATTGTGGATCAAACTCCTTCTATAACACACCTGTCTTACACCTGTCTCACCGTGCTGTTAATTATGCTGTAAACTGTAATTTACAAACATCAGTGCAATACAAATAGAAACAGTGATTTCTATGAATAACTATAAGATAAGAACATATGCTGCCATCTTGAATTCTAACACTCAAGAACAATTAGTAACCAAGTGCTATTTTTAAGGTTTTTGCTATTTTTCAAGAAAGGTAACTCTGTCGGCCTTGTTTGATTTTAATCTTTACTTTTGTGTGATTATGTCCCCTTGACCACATTTGCTATTTGCTCAACCATAACGTTTCCCTCCTAAAGTTAGGGTCACTTGAGGTCATTCTTTGTGTTAAAGAAGTTGTTGGTCATTGTGACATGAAGATGTGTTAATTGTTGATCAACTCCCTTTAAATACTCAAATCCCTTTAAATGTTGTTACTTGGTGAAATAAAATAAATAAACTAAATGGTAATGAAGTTGAGTAAAATCCAATTTCTGTATCATTGAGAACTGTTAAATAAACAATTGTAACACGGTTTGCGTAATCAGTAAAAAGTTTACTGTTTACCAAATAAAATAATAAATAAAAGAATAATAATATAATAATTGTATTAAGAATCTAAAAAAGATAAATATTATTGTCAGTATTGAGAATTAGAACTCACTGATAATATTAAAAGTTTTTGAACTTGTATAAAACTGTGAGAAATGTAATAGAATAAATTCCTATTGCTGTTCTCTTAAATGAAATAAAAATAAAGTCAATTGTTTATAAACTTATTCTAGTGTGTGATTAAATAATTTATTACTTTAAGATAAAGTTATACTTAAAGGTCATTTTCAACTCTTACATGAATTTGAAATATTTTTTCAATTTCATTATTAAAATTAAATAACAGGTCTGAACTTTGAATTGATTATTGAGATGAATAATTAATTTAATGAATCAGATACAGTAAATTATTCTATAAAGAATATTAATTAGTATTTATTTGAAAGCAAATAAATATTTATTGATATAAAGTAATTAAAAAATAATTGAACTGATTTATAACTTGGTCAGTTTCAATATATGAATACAATAATAATAAATAAATAAAACATATATAATAAAATTATGTATTAATTTTTGCCGTTTTGATATTTTGACTATACTTTAGTCACGGTTTAAAATAATTCAACATAATAAAATTAATAAATGAAATTAAATTAATCTGAAATGTGATAATTCACAACTGGGAATAAGTGAAGTCTTTGCGACATAAAAATCTTGAATAGTGAAGTGTGGATTGACTGGTGTAGTACTACAGGCAAAATTGAAATAGTGCTGTTGTGAAATTAGTGCTTAAATTATAAAAAGGAGCTGTGCTTTGGAGGATGATAGTGCTTGAAATGAATATAAGTGCTGTGATGTTATATTGAGGAAAAGTGCTTGAAATTATAATCGGCAAATAGTGCTTGAATAAGTTAGTGCTGTGTTGTTATATTGTGGAAAAGTGCTTGAAATTATAATCAGCAAATAGTGCTTGGATACGTTAGTGCTGTGAAATTCTGTTTACACTATAGTGCTTTGTAAATATAGTGTTGTGAAAATTCTACTGAAAGAATAGTGCTTGACGTGATGAATTATTCCGCTAGAATAGTACTTGGAACAAGGAATTTAAGTACTTTGAAAATAATTTTGCGAGAATAGTACTGAAGTATTAGTGTGATTTGAAGTTGTACTTATGAAAAAGTCCTATGTGACTTTGACAGTGCTGAGGAGACACCGTTTTGATTGAATTTGTGCTTACATAAAATTTATTTTCGGGAATTCATTCCTGTGACATTGGGAATTATTTGATTAGAGCTGGAGTACATGGTGATTGAAACAGAAAAAAAATACCTATTGAAATTTTGCTGCTTTAAATAATTATTGTCGGGGAATAGTCCTTGCTGACATTTAATTTTGAATTAGTGCTGAAGTATTTGAATAGGTTTGTGCTTGAATAAAGATTTTGTCGGGAATAGTCCTGTGAACACGTAATCTTTGAAATTAAGTACTGGAGGAGCTGTGATTTGAAATAGTGCTTGATGGTTTTAGTACTGGCCAAAATAAGTACTGTTATTTGAAATAGTGCTTTAAATAGGGTTAGTTGGAAAATAGTACTGTGAATTGAAAGTGCTGGGAAGTGATATTGTACTTTGCGATAGTAACTTGGATGAATTAGTACTTTAGTACTGTGAGACATTCTGAATTCAATTAGTGCTTTGATGATTTAGTACTTTAGTACTGTGAAATAAAAAAGTGCTGAACTGAAATTGTGCTTTGAAATAGTGCTTGATTATTAGTACTGTGAATTAGAACTGAAATTACTTAAGAAAATAACACTTGGAACTTCAAAAAGTGATTATAATTATAGAAAGAAGTTGACCATAAATTAAAATGGATCCATCAAAGGAGTTAGGAGCTGTTGGAGGAGAAGATATGGAAGCTACTGATGAAGAGAGCTTGGGAGAAATGAAAATCTCATTGAATGAAAAGAAACTGTTGGATGCCTTCAGAGCTTTACACATTGAACCATTCATAGAAAATCCAGATGATTTACGGAAGTTGTTGAGAGGTGCTAAATCAAAGGAGTTTGGTGAAGAATTAGAGATAAAGAAGGAAACAACACCTTCAATTACAATTCCAAAAACAAGACTGACAACTAATCCAATGGAAACACCTCGGACAGACACAAAACCTACAGAGAATGCATTGCTAACACCACTTAAAGATTTGTCATCATCATATTTACCAGATATTTCAATTACAACAAGTAAACCAGCAT